ATTGTCTTGCTATCATGTATTTATTTTGAGCACCTAAATAACTTTTGAGGCCCTTTCTACACCTTCTGTAACATTTTATATTTTTTTTAAAGTATAGAATGGAATAGGATTCCAGTATTTAATTTGCTATAATGACAATAAAAATCACTTTTGTATTTGGAATTCCTGCATCCCTCTTTCTTCAGACTTAAGGGATTTAATGATTGCTTCTTGGATCTGATGTCAAAGTTACAGTTTCCAAGGGAAAATCTCTTTCTGAAGACTGGCCTTGAATTATTGTTGCACTTGTATCATATATATATATATATATATATATATATATATATATATATATATATATAATCTTATATTGAAAATTTTTGGGACCATCTTACTAAGTAAACCAAGCAACCAAGTTACTCTGTATTTTATTTTTAATTAACTTAATCTTTGTCTCATCTACATGCTTTACCAGTATGGATTATATAGTTACTTGCAGATCCCTGATGTTAATCTTGCATTTTCACACTTGAATTTTGATACCTAGAGAAGCCTGGAGACATCCCATGTTTGATGACAATTTCCCATGGCCAGATAATTTTATAATGACTTAGCTAAATAGTTTTTAATGCAGAGTGTGCACTTAATTGATAGTACACTGCTAACTTTTTAATTAGAACCTCATGTGGTAATTAGTGAAATACTTGCTAAATTTACATAAATTTCTTTAGCAACCAAGTTCATCAGCACTCAAGGAATGAGATCAGATTTGTTCAACAAAAGAGGTTCTCCATAAAGTCTTGTTGACTTTGTGTCATTGTGCATCTGTCCATGAACTGAAACCCATTTTCCATTACCATTATTTTGTCTCATTGTGAGAGCCACTTTGTAATTCGGGTCACCATATCCTCTCTCTGTGAGTCTTTTGGCAATTCACTGTCATCAAGTGCTCTATTAAAGGTCACTCTTAGGTATGGGTTTCTAATTCACAAACATTCATGCCAGTAAATGCCAATATTGTCTCCTGCCACTAGAGGAATGAGGGCAGTCATTGTCTTGAAAAACAAGGAGATAGTCCTGACTTTTTCCTCATACAAAGAAAAGATGCCAAGCTCTTCTGGTGCCTTTTTAAAATCTCGGTTGCTAAATTTTAAAATGGTTGAAGTTTGCCTTTTCTAACATAGCAAGGATGTGAACCTGCTGAAGTGAGTCCAGAGGAGGCCAAAACATGGTCAGAGGGTTGATCACCCCTCCTGGGTGACAGGCTGAGAGAACTGGGATTGTTCAGCCTGGAGAGGAGAAGGCTTCAAGGAGATTTTAGAGCATCTTCCAGTACCTAAAGGGGCTGCAGGAGAGCTGGAGAGGGTTTTTTTTACAAGGGCATGTATGACAGAACAAGGGGGAATGCCTTCAAACTTAAAGAGAGTTCTTCCCTGTGAGGGTGGTGAGACAATGGCACGGGTTGCCCAGAGAAGTTGTGGCTGCCCCATTCCTGGAAGTGTTCAAAGAGAGGTTGAATGGAGATTAGAGCAGCCTGATCTAGTGAAAGGTGTCCCTGCCCATGGCAGGGGGTTGGGAACAAGATGATCTTTATGGTTGCTTCCAACCCAAACCATTCTATGAGTCTGTGATTCTGTGAACTGTTTCAAGAACAAGTGGAAAACTTCTTTTCTTCAGTCTTTTCACCAGTTTCTGACCACTACCACTTCTTGTTCTGTCAATTTTTAACTCCCTAGAAGGATGTACTTTGTACAACTCCCTCTTCTGAAATGTTACAGTGGAGCACCAATATTTTCTGTCTTCTTTGGTCCATGGGGTTGGAAGGATCTCTAAGAGCTTTGATTACTTGCATTTTCCTCCTTTTCAGCTTTTGCCCAAAATCCATGTCGTTCCTACACCAGCCCGACATTTGTTCCAAAATGTGCCATCAAGTCTTGCCTATGATTCCATAATCCTTCTGAGTCTTGTTATTTCATCTCTCAAAGTACTGCAAATTGCTCAGGTCACTACATGGTTTTGATGTGTGAGGGTTATACACTCAAGGCATATGCTCTGAGTGGTTCCATCAGATATCTTCGGTAGCCTTTTGCCAGCTTAAATTATTTTATGTTTCTTTAATATCCAGTGATTGCTTTAAATTAATATGAGAGAGTAATAAATATTTACATGGGTGTTTTATTAATTTTTAAAATTTTGCTATGTCTACATGAGGAAATCAGACTGTATGAGGAACATATATATCTGCAAAGTTCAGTTAGAAAAAGGTGTGTGTAATGTACAGCAATGCCATTAAATGCTATTAAGCAAGATTCACACCTTTCAGACTGAGAAAATATTACACATAGGCCCCTCAAAAATCCATTAATATTTACTTATTTTTTTTTTAATTTCTCATGTTTTAGGAGCTACTGTTGAAACAGTGCTGGAAAATATCAGCATCAAGGCAGATATGTTTCCTCCCTCTCCAAGCAAAACACTGGATGTGCATTTCTTTTACAAGTAGGTAAAAAATGCTGCTTATTGCTCTGTCAGATGACTTAATTTGTTTAGAGGAAAGTAAAACTGTGAGGGGACATCTATAATCCACCTTTAATCTTTGCCACTTTAATCAGTATCTACTTGGTATTGATTGACAGGTTGAAGATCATCTAATGAAATCAGCAAACACTCTTTACTCAAATCTGAATTAGGTTTGATCCATAGAAAGTGATCCTAGAGCTTTGATTCATCCAGATGCCACTTTCAGTGTTCTGTTACCTTCCATATTTTCTCATATATGACTTTGAAATGTCCACTTCTGGTTGCATATTTTCTTTCATTTTCATTTGTGTTTACTTTGATGCTACAAAAAAGGACTAATCAAGATAAAAAGTAATTGTTTTAACATGCACAGTTTCTACTATTTTCCCATTTTTCACTCTTCTCCATAAAAAGAATGCTTCAGTTTGGGTAGGAAGTAGCTCAAAGATCAGCTCAGTTCAGATGTTTACATGCTGGTCTTCATGTCAGCTGTGTTTCTAAGCTGGGACTTAATTGAATATAGGATTTTGGATATTAGCAATTTATGCTTATGTGAATACTTAAATTTTGTATGTGATTCTGCATTCTGAGACCCTACTTTGAGCAAATCATAAACTTGGCATACAGTGTCTGTCATGCTGGAGAAAGAGTTTTTTTTTTTAATCCCCTTTGCCCTGTGCTATTTCAGGACAATTTGGTTCTCAGGTTGCTAGACTGGGAGTGAAACTCTCCAGCAGAGTAACACACCAACCACAGCACCTGTGATTCCCCTTTTCAATCATTCTATTCTGTTTTGTGGGAAAGTTCAGTCCTTGATGCAGCAGATTCCAAACTAGCTAGAAAACCAGAGCAATTCCCTGAGTAGCATCTCAGAGCACTTTGAGATTCAGATGAATTGGTGAGGCCTACCCTGGTTCTGTCCCTCTTTGTTTGTTTGTTTGTTTGTTTTCACCTGGCGAAGTCAAAAACATTGTGGTAAAGGGTATTTTGTTAGTATTGCAGCTGCATGAGTATTTACAAACCTGTGAAATGGTAATGTACATTTAATATAGTGGAAATATGTTGCTTTTCTCCTCTTCTTTGACATTAGGTCTTCAACAGTGACAACCTCCTGTGAAAATGGCCGTGCAACTGTTGTGACAATGAGATGCAACCCCAACAAACCAGGCCAAGGAGAGCTTTCTGTGCCCAGGTATTTCAGTCTTTGTGTCCTACTTGTACCAAAAAGCCTTTGCTCCCCAGGTAATCTTTGCAAAACTCACTAGTAAATTTATATTATAATATAATAGCAATGAGGAGTACTCTCTCCCTCATCAGTCACTTGCTTTTCCTAGGTGTCTATCAGCTTCCAACAGACCAACTGATCTGTGTTTAGGCTCTGTGTCAGGTTGTTCTGAGCTTAAATGCAAAAGAAAATGAAGTGATGTTTACTTGTCTTCACTTCTCCTTTATTTTAGTTCCTTATTTTAATCTTCAGCCTTCTGATTAAACTGCCTAGTTGAGGCTTTGAGAGGTAGCTTTTCTTCTTTCGTCTACAGAAATGGTTAGTGAAAATTGTTTCTTTTTGGAAAAAGCTAACCTATGCTAGGAACTTTGAAATCTGCTATTGCAATGCTTACGTGAGATCTGATTGTCTATTTTATGTTTCGGATAGATTTATTTATGTGTTTCACTGCTATATCCTGGCTGCCTTGTATCAGTTGTGTTTAATTTACCTGACTTTTTTTCCTTTCAGTCTGATTTGAGGGACTTTAAAAAGTTTCTTTCTTCCAAAATCCTGTTTATGCCTTCATAAACATAACTTAAGGCATAAACATGATTGAAAAACTGCAGAGAAAAAACCAGCAAAATTCTACTCAATATACTCAATTCTATTACTCTTTAGCAATACACTGTGATTTTTCAGAAGCTTCCTTCAACTGTGATAACCCTCCTCTTTGGTTATCAAGACCCATTCTAGTCTGTCTGGATGTTACTAAAAATCTGCTGATAGCTCTCACTCATCTTCCTTCCCAAAAGCTGAGTCCTCTTCCCAAAAGAGACCAGTGTGAGAAGTGTGGGATCCTTTGATCCCTGTCCCTTTCATGACACAGTAACTGTGCTTGTCTGAAGGCAGAGTCTCCTTCACGGTGATGGATGAAAAGATTGATATTTGAACACCTTTGGAGATGCTTTCCCCCGTTTCTGAGGGACCTGTCCTGCTACAAATTATGCTGGGTAGTAAGCCACTATCAGCTTCTGCATGAAATTTCTTCAGTTGTTCTTCCAGTGCCACAGGATAAACATGATGTGAACTGTGATCAAGCAGCAGTAGTGAGGGAGGAACAACCACCTGGCTTTTGAAAGTGTGAGCATGGGCAGAAATGGCACACAGCTGACATATGTACCTTATCTCAGTTCATGTAGACTTCTCCTTTCCTATCCCCCTTTGATTAGCTCAGCAGTCATCTGTTTTCACACAGTGAGGTATCAGAAATATGTCAAATAATGTAACTCCTTGATCCTTCAGGGATGGTGTTTAGTATCACATGAATCTACAATATAAGATGAAAGCAGTTGAGGAGAAACGTCTGTCAGTGCTCTTGCCATGTAGGTCTGAAAAATGCTTCATAATTCACAGAGGAATGTACTTTTGTCAGGTATTCAAATCTGGATAAGCCAGAATGGGCTTTAGGGCTGGGGATTTTTCAGTGCTTCAGATCAGGATATCAGGTTTCCAGATGATCTAGAACAACACAATTTTAAATAAATTTTTTTCTGCATGAATATATTTCATATTTACATTACCAAACTTATTGCATAGCCTTTGGCCATTGCTGCTGTTAGACCTGATGTGATTGTCAGTAACAAAATCTATGTGACTGTTCTGCCACTGCCAGTACAACTTTCTTCGGCAGGCTGAATACAAAATAGGCTATTAGTTTTTCTTGGAGTAAGAGCAGCTGTTATCTCTTCATTAATTGGTGAACATCCTTCTAGTAATTAACCCTAACAGGCCAAGTCCATTCCATATAGACTAAATCACCCAGATATCATTAGAAAGACGGCAGGAACCAGATAGCAGCATTCAGGTGGAACAGCCACCCTGTGCAGGAGAACAGTGATGGAGGAGTGTGCTGGGCTAGCCTGGGCTGGTGAAACGCTGGTGTAGCGACACTCCCTTCTCGCTCTCCCCTCTCCCCTCTCCCTCTCCCTCTCATCTTTGACAGCTGAACTCCTGTTTTCACTTGAGAAAACATTTTACAAACTGGGAAAAATTCTTCCCCCAGGTTTTTCCATCTGCTAACTTGATGAATGTTTACCCATTTCTCATATTTCCCATTCCCAATCTTCAGCAGCAGAATGTGGATGAGGATGCACACCCCAGAGTGTTTCTTTCATGACTGATAACTGAGCTCTCCTCTTCTTGTAGCTCCTGCCCTGCGGGCACCTGTGATGGGTGCACTTTCTACTTCCTATGGGAAAGTGCAGAAGCTTGTCCTCTCTGCACAGAGCAAGACTACCATGAGATTGAGGGAGCCTGCAAAAAAGGATTTCAGGTACAGGGCCCATGTCTCGAAGTCAGATGGGCTCATTTGGGTGTAACTTGGACTCTTATTGAGATTTGGTGTGCAAATTGATATGTAAGAGGGTTGGAAGACCTCAGCCCAGGCTCTGAGCTGGCTGGGATGCAAGCTGAGGGAGGAGCAGTGTTGACACTCAGGAATGTTTTTGTCAGTGGCAGGGTGGTTCCTGCCAGAGAGCTGGTTTGTGCTGACCAGCTGTGTGAGCAAGGATGTGAACTCTCAATGCCTTCAGACATTCAGGATAGTTATTTCTAAAGGATGGAGTGCCCAAAAAACCTAAGTTGTTTTGTAGCCATAAACGTCTGGGGCAGGCTGGGAAAGGTTTCCAAATGTCAGTTCATAAATTCATCCTACTTGCTTGCAATGTTTTTGCTGCTGCATTCTCTAGTCATATATTAGAAGTCTTTCCACATGTTCAAACTGTGCTGTTGAGCAACAGCTCCTGTGCAGGCACAACTTATTCCCAATAGCTGTCCAGCCCATCCTGTGTCATGTGAAGACCTGGACAGGGGAGGAAATCGTTTGCCATGCCTGAAACTGCAGGCACAAGAAAGGGGAGGACTGATTAGACAATATAACTAAAAACCTAAAGTCTGAAAATCTGAAGGGTGTGTTTTGGTTTGCTATCATTTACCTTTCTACCTCAGAACAGCTTGTTTTCTGTAAGTCTAAACAGTTCTCTCTTTTCCTACAAGCAGCTCACTTTTTGGTGTTTTCTGTTGAAAGGAAACCTTATATGTATGGAATGAGCCAAAGCATTGCATTAAAGGAGTTCCCTTGCCTGAAAAAAGGACCAGCCCCTGTGAAACAGTGGATTTTTGGCTTAAAGTTGGAGCTGGTGTTGGTGCTTTCACAGCTGTTCTGCTCATAGCCTTGACTTGCTACTTTTGGAAGAAGAACCAGAAGTAAGTACTGCAATTTGTGTTCTATATAAAAGTTAGCTAAAAGCTTGATGGAGTGACTTTTCCTGCATCTGACTTCATGACACTCTTGATAAGCAGTGCCTTGTAGGATCAATCCATTCATACGCCAAGTTGGTGTTTCTTCTGTCAAGGGTGGTGATAAAAAATTCTGGCGAGGAAAGTATAGAGCATCCACAGTAATTTGAAATGGTGTAATTTCCCAATAGGAACTGTCTTTTTAACCCTTGAGGGTTTGAAATTAGTTTCTGAAGCAATATGGCCTTTTCAAGTTCTGAAAACCAAAAGGGTATCTTTAGTCTAATTAGGCCCTTTCAGCTTGGTAAAAAATTAGGTTCTTGACCATATTACTTAGTTCTATTTTGGCTGTTGCTCAACCACTTCTTCAGGAAGCCCTCCTGCAGGAAGCCCTCTTGACCTCCCCTTGGTCTTCTGGGAAAACATGGTTCTTTTATAAGGATAGAGGACTAATTGGAGGGCAATTAGTCCTCTAATTGGAGAGCAATTAGTGTATTGTTAATACTATTTTGGTTACATATTTTTAATGATTGAAAAGTATCTAATTTCCACTACCTCAGAAGTAACTATGTGGGAGGACTGCAGACAATCTAAATTACAAAACCCCTGAGTATGGGACATTTGAGAAAAAAAATCTATTCCTGTGTGGCTTTATATCTTCAGGCTGGAGTATAAATATTCCAAATTGGTGATGACAACTAACTCAAAAGAGTGTGAACTGCCAGCTGCTGACAGCTGTGCTATAATGGAAGGAGAAGATAATGAAGAAGAAATTGTATATTCAAATAAGCAGTCACTGCTGGGGAAGCTCAAATCCTTGGCAACAAAGGTGAGTAGTAATTACTAATAGTAATAATAAAAATAATTATTACCTTTATTTATTACTGGATGTGATGAGTCTTTGATGCTAATTTCACAGCAGTGCAGCCTCCCACACACACCTCATCCAGTCCATAGTGATCTGCTGAAATCCACAGTCTGGATAAAATTAAGAAATTTTGTGGGGTTTTGGGTAAATGCTCCTTCCTCCACATAGAGATGTCAGTAGCATTTTTTGTTGCATGGATGACACCAGGAAAAAACAGTTAATGTCAGAGAGAACCTTTTTTGCCTGGAATCCTCCCAGGCACATCCATTGCTGAGGCAAACACAGCTATTAGAGATATAGAAAATTAACACCGGCAACATGGGCACCAACCAGCTGCTTGCAGCTCACCTGGGCTGGCTTCATGGCTGCCTTGAGAATAATAATTTTGAGTAGGATTCAGTTGAAGAAGAAGCATCAGCTTCATCCTGTTGCCCAACACAGCAGCCTCCTCCATTTCAGTGGGAAGCAACACCAAAAAAGCATTTTTTTCTACAGTGGATGTGATGTGGATTGTTGTATGTCTGAATTGACAGCACCAAAGTCTTTGGTGTCTGTTGAACATTTCTGAGAGGAGCCACAGAGGCCCATCATGGTAGATCCCAAAAGCTCCTTGGTCTTTGTTCTAAATGCTCTGAAATCTGTGCTATGGGAAGAGTAGTGTTGTCTTTAAGGAATTCAAGTGGGGGCATCTGTTATGATCAGGATAAAGGTAAATGACATTTTCCCTTTCAAACAGTTTTGTTCAAGTCAGTTTCTTAGAAAGTCTTCCAAAAGCTTATAATAAAAAATATTTTTAAAACATTGTACTCTAGTTTATTGTCCAAATAATATCTCAGAATGTTGAATTTTGAGATTTTTTCCTTGTATACCTTTTTTTTTCTTTCTGTGAGTGAATGCAATATAATTAAACTTGTGTAGTGTCTTTCTTTTCCATTATTATTATCTTCTCTTCATTCTTTTACTTTTTTTTTATTTGACTGGTGTCCTCTTGCCATGCTATCCGCTACTCAGATATCCCTCCTAGGAGAAGTTACCATTGCACAGATAATGTGCAAAATTTTCCCTTGACCCCAGCCTGACTATTTGTCCTGCAAAATCAATATTGTTCCTTGTGGAAAGGGGCAGAAATTCAATATTAATTCTTAATTCAATATTGAGAATATTGAAGATGTAAATAAAATCAAATCACATAAAATTTTCTGGTGATGTTGCAAAAATAGAATTAAGTTTTAGTACTTCAGTATTCAGACAACTTGAATGCCTACTTGTATTTTTTTAATGTTCTTATATCCACTGTAGCAGTCCTCCTGAGTGTTCTCTCCATTTTCAACTAGCTTGTCACATATTTCTAAGCTTGTTCCTTTTTCTTCTGCTAGATAACAATAGCTGGTAAATTCGACTCCCAGTACCTCATTAGCTTACTCAGCTCTATGTCCTGTACCCCTGCAGATAACTCAGATTTAATTTATATTTATCAAAAAAAAATGTTATAGGCATTGCTTTTCATTTATGCAAAAGATGAAGAAATTCATGTCCTGCTACATATGCATGTCAAATACAGAAAAATATGTGGAGGAAAACAGGGAAGGAAAAGGAGAAACATAAAATGAGAGAGAAAGAAAATCTGCAGTAGCCTAACTATATGCTCAAGCTTCAGGCTATGGCATTTCTGTCAACATGTCATAAAGGTGTATCAGTGGGTTTGAGTACCCAAGGGATTGAGGGCGAGGCCTGTAATATAGAAGGGGATGACTTATTTTTCATGAGAAGATATAAGCCAAATAATTACAAACCTGTTTCAGATTGGGAGCTGTTCTAGTTCTGTCTGTTGTCTCCAGCACGACAACACCACACTCTTCAGAGCATGTATTTTTCACTAGATTAGCATAGGACAATTTCTCCCCTTCTTTCTCATGTCTGCACCAGGCTGTCCTGATCTGTGTGAGATGGTTTTAAAAATCAGATTATTAAGGTAGTTCAAGACAGTTTGCAGACTATTTGGGTTGGTATGTCCACATTTCTCACTCGCCCTGAGTGCTGACCAAATGGCCAAGGCTGTCAACCAGCAAATGGAAACAGAGAAAACTCAACCCTCTGCCCCTGATTTTTAAGACAGAAATGAATATTTTGGCTTGTGGGTCTCCCAGAGGAGGTGTTGTGATTGGAATCCAGGAGCAAGGCAGTGGTGTTCACACTCACGTGCTATGCTTCAAGCATTTTATGCATTGCAGGAAACACATTAATAAGTGATAATAACCATAGAGATGGTTAACTTGCAATTCCCCAGCTCAGACTACCTGTCCTATTCTCTGAATATGAAATGCAGACTTTCCCTTCACCCTCTTAAATAAGTACCATGAACAATAGCTATAGCATAATTTTATTTGTTTTGTAAATTTTTACAGAATTATCAATGTTATTAAATATTAAAGGGTAAAACTGTGCACTTAGATACTGTAGTAAAATTAAAGTGAAGATTTTGGCAAAGGATATTGAGAGGAGAAGTGATTGTGCTGACTGCTGGAGAGATTTTGAGGAAATCCAGTTGATGGGAACCTCTCTTTCCATTGCAGGAAAAGGAAGATAATTTTGAATCTGTTCAGCTGAAATCTTCAAGATCCCAGAATATATGAAGAATTAATGCTGCCTTCAAAGGAACAAACCTAATTTCTATTTTTACAGAACTATATTTTAAACATATTCTGGCACACATTATAGTGGTGATCTTGGCGAGAAATGCTTGGCCTTTTAGGAGGAAAGAAGACAAGAAGCAAACCAGAAAATTGGATTGCCTTACCAAGTGATGAGTACCTTGCCAAAAAAAGAAAGCAGATTCTTGGATTCCATACTGGGAATGAAATTCAACTCAGGAAGAGATATACATACTGCAAATAACATGAATTTTTTGCATTCACCTGGGCAACACTCAGGCATGCCATATGATTTATAGGTACTTTTTGTTTCCTTCTCACTCCTGTGCATATTCCTAAGAGATTATTTTCAGAGAGGCCTGCAACCTCCTGCAGAGGTTGTGTGTTGTTTACTCGCATAACTGTGAGTCTTTCTTGAAATCAAAATTGTGAATGGTACTCAGAATGAGCCTTGGGTGAGTTTTGAACTTTGGAAAATACTTTTGATTTTAATGCTTTGAAGGTCTGGATGGTCTGTGTTGACCTCTGATGCAAGAGGAATTGTGTTGAACCTGCAAATTGAACCCATTCTGGTGCCTAAGTCATGGCCTAGTGCTATTAAATTTAAACTTGGTAACAGCTGTTGTGTGAATTATAGGTCTGGGCCCATGAGTTTGTAGGCAGTAGCAGATTCAAACTCTTTATAGAGAAGTAAAGTGGTACCTACAGTGCATGTTGCACTTGTCCCTCTCTGTGGAAGCTTGTCCTTTCAAGAGAGGTCTTTGGCAGATTCAGTGTTCTCCCTTGAGCTGTGTCACTTTTCCCAGGGCTGGGAACCAGCAAAACCTGAACTCTGGAGCAAAAATCTCTGCTTTTGGGAATCAGGGATCAGCTCCGTCAGTTGGGACACTTGTTAGAAATATTCAGCCTCCTTTATTCCTGGGCCCACGCGAGGAAGTGGGATGGATGGATGGGTGGGTGATGGATGGGTGAATAGATGGATGTTCAGCAGAGCTGAGCATGGTTTATATACTTGCACAGCATCTAAATGCATCCTGTGTCAGTGCAAGTAGCAGCTCTGGAGGAAAGGCACAAAGTGATGCTGTGGAAGCTGGAGGCTAGGTGGACTTTTCCATAAAATCAGCCACATTAGAAGCATGTGATCTTCATAATATCACAGTGATAATTTCCTGAAATTCCCTCTGAGGTCGAACTCAAAGGAATCTGAAACTTAGGCAAAAAATATTTGAGTAAAATTATGTAAGACTTGTATAGAGCCAGAGAAAATGAGTAACAATTTTTGTATTGACCTCTGGTCTGACTCATATTTCCATTACAGCAAATTTATGTTACTTGTGGAAAGCATCAAAACCAGAAAAGAGATATGGGCAGAAATAGTCTTTTTACTATAAGGAATATAGATTTTTGATTTTATATGACTGAGCTAGGTCTATCAATAAAAGAGGGCCCACTTTTAAGTAAAAGTTAAATTAAACTGAATTTTCTGCACTCTAAATATTTTATTATACTCTAGATGTGAACAAAAATTTTATGAAATTTAGATTTGTTTTTCATTTGGGAAAATTCAGCTCTGTTATTTTATAGTTTCAGTCAAAGAACACACACTTTACTCTCTTGATGGGAGATCCTTCAGGCATTTTAACTGAAGTGGTGTATGTTTTCTGTTGGTCTTGAAAAGGCACTTCACTTTCCCAACAAAGATTTTTATGGCGTAATGTTGAATGTATATGAAATACACATTCCTTTTTGTATATTTTGTACCATTGCACACTTATTATTGTACACTGTATTTGTTGTCATGATGTCATTTATATATGGTTGTCAAAGATGATATGCTCACGGAGTAAATGGTAATGGCTTTGGGATTTCACTTCTTGAATCTTTTATGATGAGGGGTTTTATGTTGTTGATTTTTATTCAACTAGTGTGTTGTAGCATCAAAGATATATATCTGATGGACATTCATAAAATAAAGTAAAAATATATTTGAAATTTTGGACTTGAGATGTTTGGTGGCACTGCAGCCTTTCCTGAGCATTGCTGGTCTTCAGTAATGAGTAGAGCTTTTCACTGCCATCAAGTTGTATTTGTCTACATCTCCTTTAATTTTTCCCCTTCTCTCTCTATATGTTTTCTCAGCCATAATTACAGCTCATTCTCCAGAACACCATTTCTTTTTTTATTATTGGACCCATATCCCTGTAATGCAGAAATGCCTTAATTTTTATGAACTATATTTAATTTGACTTAATACTGCACTGGTTTCATTGGGTTCCCTTCTCTTTCCATTATATTTTCCAAATAAAATGGAATGGAATTTTTTGACAGCTGTGACAGACTTTGCTGTATGACTCTTCTCAGCTCTGCTTCCAAATGGTTTATCATTATGTTGTTGAAAATTCTCCCAGGCAGTCTAACGGTGTCTCTGGTGCAGTGCTAACACAA